TGTACACATAGCTTTATTCTTATTTCTAAACCCAATCATGTCGAGTTAGCCATTGTTTTACCGATCTTCAAAAACTATTTTATTTTTCCAAATTAAATTTTCAATCACTCATTCTCACAATAAAATATTTTTGCACATAAATTCAAAATTTTTTTTTTTTAACTATACATTTTTCAAAAAAATCACCATTTCAAAATTCAAATTTTTCAAAAATCTCTTTTAGTTGGGCATCAAACGGGCCCTTGATATTGATAGACAAAATTAAGGTTTGTATTAATGATAGTAATTATGCAAGAAAATCAATGGGTGATGGATAACCAAAGTCATAACTAGGTCTGGAGAAATGTGTAATGCGTACAACTGTAATGGTCAATGCAAAATCAATGTAGGACCCAGTTGTGAGATACGTTGTCTCGTGGACTTGTCGCTAAGATATTACTTTTTACTAAATCAAATTGTTCAAGAATGGATCAAGTGATCAACTTAGAATTCAATATTTAAGAACTATTTGAAACTGAATTAAATGGTTAACAAAATAACAAAAAAAAAAAAAGGACTAGTGTTCGGAAATTTACTTGTCATAAATTTTGTACGATATGAGTACGTTATATAAGTTTCTTTTCAATTTAAGTATATACTCATATACATGTGTGCCTTCTTCATTGTTCCTCATATCGGCATGTGAAGGATGGTAAAGTATGCATCTTTTCGTAATATTCTATTTGGTCGAAAACTTGACTTCCGGCAACACCTATGTCATACCTACCCTACAGGTCAATCAGCCTCTTCATGGTACACCTACAGATGTCTTCATAACAACAAACGAAACTGTAAATCTAGATTTGCAGAATTTTTTCTTCATAACGAACTTGGACCCTTCAGTTATTATTTCCGGCGTCGGCGATGCAACCCATGGTTGTGGACCGCCACCCCCAACACCACCTCATCATGGAGTATCCAATGAACCCATGAGTCATATTCAATTTCGAATCAATATGGACGAATCAAGCGAGGCAACTCACGCACAGGCAGGTTCCATCTATTCCCAGTCATTTGAGGTCTCCACAAGACTTCAACCCATCAATTCTGCGATGGATATGTTTTGGTCCTTTTTTGTTGTTATTGTGACACTGGTTGTAGTGGTGTTGTGGCGGGGTCAACGGCAGTGGTGATGATTTTTTTGGTGTTGTGGTGGAGGTGGCAATTGGTGTGGTTGTTTTTTGTTGTTATTGTGGCGGTGATTGTGATGGTAATGTGACGGGGCGACGATGGTGATTTGGGTGGTGTTGTGGCGAGGGCGAGGTAGTATTTGTAACCAATTATTTGGTTGATTTGTGACCAAAGGATCGGGACGGAAGTGGGGTGTTTGGTATATGTGACCGGCATTTTTGTTCATTGTGACTTATTTTTAATCTGTGACCTTAAATTTCGATAATTTGTCACCAAGAAATTTAGAAATATGTGACATATCGATAAACTATGATCTATAATTTTTTGTCTGTGACCAATGAATTAAAGTGTGACTTATAAAATATTTATTTTGTGATCTCGAAATAATTTGTAATCAATTAATTAGATGTTTTGTAACCGTAAAATAAGTTGTGTGACTTATAAATTTTATGATTTGTGATCGATGAACAAATTGTGACTTTTAAGTTTTTAATTTATGACCGATGAACAAATAGTAACATAAAATTTTTGAATTATGACATTAAAATTTTTGAAGTGTGA